AACAGCATCAACAGGACATAGCCCAAGTAATAATTCCAGTTGAAGAAAACACTTCTCAAAAGAAGTGCCAACCAAAGTGCAATTCAAACTATCCATGTCAAAAGAAGCAACAACCAAAGTGCAATTCAAACTATCCGTGTCAAAAGAAGCACCAACCAAAGTGCAATTCAAACTATCCATGTCAAAAGAAGTACCAACCAAAGTGTACTTCAAACGACCCTTGAACATTTGATTCGTTTCATGATGATAGGCTACTATGAGAAAGTTATATGGTTCAACTGAAGTAACCACAAAGGTATCCTTTTTAATCCTGCACACCCATAAAAACAAATGCAGACAACACAATTAAACTATACAACATATAAATAATAAAATGTAGTGTCATGAAAATAAATACAAATGACAAAAGAATGAGTAATGTCATTTTTTAATACTTGAAATACCTTAGCAAGAGTGGAAAATAAAATTTTATTAACAGTATTTATGATAGTGTACACATAACACATAATCAATACCTAACTAATAAAAGGGGCATAATTCAAATTGAATTAACAAATTCATGCATTAACTAATAATCAGCCATAATAATGCCAAAGGATATATCAATGGTACTGTATCAAGGATTGTCATATTTCACACCCAATCAAGTTATTCTTAAGGAATAGTTCTCAAAAGTTAATTGGCAAGTAAACACAAATATTGTGTTTACACTAACTTATCAAGGGTATTGATTTCATTTTTATATTATTGATCTGTTGAATTGATGAAAATGCTTATTGGAAATGTTTTTTTGTATTAATAAAAAATTGATGAAAATTGTTTATATAACAAAAAATTGTATTAATAAAGAAACGTTTATTGAAATGATTATTGTATAATAAAGAAGAATTGTATTATGATCATATGAACTTTATTACTGGCAACATGCAATGGAACTCTGAATTGCATGTTTTTCCTTGTGTTGAAGATATATAAGAAATATATATTATTACCCTTTGGTAGATAACTCCTGTTGATAATAAGAGGAGTTTGTTCATCAAACCATGATGGGGAGTCATTAAATTTCCCACAAAAACTTGATTCTAAGCTGAAATGGATAAAAGATGAAAATGCCTTTGACCAAGTTAAAGAAGTATTAAGTAGAGCTCCTGTAATGACATTCTATGATCTTAACCTTCCAACCAGGATCCTAACTGACACCTTACCTATAGGTCTAGGTGCAATTCTAGAACAATGACAGACAAACAAAGTTTGGAAACCAATTTGCTATGCTAGCAGAAAATCACCCTGACAGAATTTTGCTACTCTCAATTTGCAATTGGGAATTTTCTGAATATTCAAAAAGTTCCATCTATATCACTGTTATATTAAGTGTATGTTAGTGAGAGAAAAGGATAATGAGGATTAGAGTGAAACAATGTTTATTGTTGGTAAAGAGTACAGGAATGTTGATCTGGTGTAAGTGTATTGTCAGGATTGAACCATTTCTTGTGGCATGGCTGAGGTCACAGGATACAATTGGTGTATGTTTGGTTGATGGAGATCACAGTTGTAGGTCATTTTGTCAGTTGGGCAACCTGTTGTGTTGAAACGGGGTGATGTTGGATTGGCGTGTACTTGGTAGTCTTGTTTTGTGGAGCAGATGTTGCTGGGGTCGAGTCTTGTTTGTAAAATGAGTCAGGTAGAGCTGGAGCGGAGATGCATTGACTCTTGAAGGGAATGCCTTGTAAACAAGTTGAGGTAGAGCTGTTCTGTGGAATCGATCCAGCGAAGAATACCTTGTAAATGAGTCGAGGTAGAGCTGTTCTGTGGAGCGGAGGTTGCGTGGACTGCGAAGGGAATGCCTTGTAAAAAGTTGGAGGTAGAGAGCTAAGAATACCTTGCGAGGTAGAGCTGTTCTGTGGAGCGGAGGTTGCTGCATTGACTGCGAAGGGAATGCCTTGTAAACAAGTTGAGGTAGAGCTGTTCTGTGGAGCAGTGGTTGCTGTGTCGACTGCGAAGAATACCTTGTAAATGAGTCGAGGTAGAGCTGTTCTGTGGAGAGGAGGTTTCATTGTGGAATGCCTTGTAAACAAGTTGAGGTAGAGCTGTTCTGTGGAGCAGTGGTTGCTGTGTCGACTGCGAAGAATACCTTGTAAATGAGTCGAGGTAGAGCTGTTCTGTGGAGCGGAGGTTGCTGCATTGACTGCGAAGGGAATGCCTTGTAAACAAGTTGAGGTAGAGCTGTTCTGTGGAGCAGTGGTTGCTGTGTCGACTGCGAAGAATACCTTGTAAATGAGTCGATAGAGCTGTTCTGTGGTCGGAGGTTGCTGCATTGACTGCAAAGGAATGCCTTGTAAACAAGTTGAGGTAGAGCTGTTCTTGAGCAGTGGTTGCTGTGTCGAGGTAGAAATGTTCGAGGTGGAGCAGAGCGGGTTGCATTGACTTGGAAGGGAATGCCTTGTAAACAAGTTGAGGTAGAGCTGTTCTGTGGAGCAGTGGTTGCTGTTGAATTGAAGAATACCTTGTAAATGAGTCGAGGTAGAGCTGTTCAAAAGGAATGGAGGTTGCTGCTGTTCTGTGGAGCAGTTGCTGTGAAGGGAATGCCTTGTAAAATGAAGGTAGAGCTGTTCTGTGGGAGCGGAGGTTTGAGGCCGTTGGGGTGGACTCAAACAATGCCTTGTTAAGCAGTGGTTGCTGAGGTAGGAAGAATGTTCTTGTAAATGAGTTGAGGTAGAGCTGTTTGTGGAGCGGAGGCCAAATGACATTGAATGCCTTGTAAACAAGTTGAGGTAGAGCTGTTCTGTGGAGCAGTGGTTGCTGTGTCGAAAGAATACCTGTAAAATGAGTCGAGGTAGAGCTGTTCTGTGTGGAGGTTGCTGCATTGTGCGAAGGAATGCCTTGTAAACAAGTTGAGGTAGAGCTGTTCTGTGGAGCAGTGGTTGCTGTGTTGACTTGAAGAATACCTTGTAAATGAGTCGAGGTAGAGCTGTTCTGTGGAGCGGAGGTTGCTGCATTGTCGAAGGGAATGCCTTTGTAAACAAGTTGAGGTAGAGCTGTTCTGTGGAGCAGTGGTTGCTGTGTCGACTGCGAAGAATACCTTGTAAATGAGTCGAGGTAGAGCTGTTCTGTGGAGCGGAGGTTGCTGCATTGACTGCGAAGGGAATGCCTTGTAAACAAGTTGAGGTAGAGCTGTTCTGTGGAGCAGTGGTTTGCTGTGCAAAAGAATACCTTGTAAATGAGTCGAGGTAGAGCTGTTCTGTGGAGCGGATGCATTGAAGGAATACCTTGTAAACAAGTTGAGGTAGAGCTGTTCTGTGGAGAGTGGTTGCTGTGTCGACTGCAAAAGAATACCTTGTAAATGAGTCGAGGTAGAGCTGTTCTGTGAGCGGAGCTGTTGCGAAGGAATGCCTTGTAAACAAGTTGAGGTAGACTGGAGCAAAGGAATGCCCTTGTAAAGCTGTTGAGGTAGAGCTGTTCTGTGGAGCAGTGAATGCCTTTGTGTTGAGGTAGACTGTTCTGTGGAGAATCGACCTTGTAAATGAGTCGAGGTAGAGCTGTTCTGTGGAGCGGAGGTTGCTGCATTGACTGCGAAGGGAATGCCTTGTAAACAAGTTGAGGTAGAGCTGTTCTGTGGAGCAGTGGTTGCTGTGTCGACTGCGAAGAATGCCTTGTAAAAAATGAGGTAGAGCTGTTCTGTGGAACAGAGGCTGTTCTGTGGAGCGGACTGCATTGCAGGGAATGCCTTGAGTTGAGTGGTTAGTGTCGACTATATGAAGAATACCTTGAAAAATGAGTCGAGGTAGAGCTGTTCTGTGGAGCGGAGGTTGCTGCATTGACTGCGAAGGGAATGCCTTGTAAACAAGTTGAGGTAGAGCTGTTCTGTGGAGCAGTGGTTGCTGTGTCGACTGCGAAGAATACCTTGTAAATGAGTCGAGGTAGAGCTGTTCTGTGGAGCGGAGGTTGCTGCATTGACTGCGAAGGGAATGCCTTGTAAACAAGTTGAGGTAGAGCTGTTCTGTGGAGCAGTGGTTCTGTGGAAAGAATGGTGTAAATGAGTCGAGGTAGAGCTGTTCTGTGGAGCGGAGGTTGCTGCATTGACTGTGAAGGAATGCCTTTGTAAACAAGTTGAAGCTGAAGTGGTTGCTGTGTCGACTATGAAGAATGCCTTGTAAATGAGTCGAGGTAGAGCTGTTCTGTGGAGCGGAGGTTGCTGCATTGATGGAAGGGGAATGCCTTGTAAACAAGTTGAGGTAGAGCTGTTCTGTGGAGCAGTGGTTGCTGTGTCGACTGGAAGAATACCTTGTAAATGAGTTGAGGTAGAGGTGGAGCGGAGGTTTTGAGTCAAGGGAATGCCTTAAAACAAGTTGATAGAGGTTCTGTGGAGCAGTGGTTGGTAATGGTTGTTGAAATGTTGAGGTGGTTGAGTCATGTAAAATAGTGTGGTAATGGTTGATTGTGGCAGTAGTATGTGTTTGTGTGGTGGTGTCTGAAACTCTGTTGTCATGATGCAGCAGCATCCTGTGTGATGGCTAGCAGCCATACTGGGCCATGCTGGGCCATGCTGGGCCATGCTGAGCTGTGACTGTGTCCTGGTCATTCTCAGAGCCTGCTTTTAAGCAGGTCTGGTAGTCCCAAGAGGCACCGCTTTTACCAGTGGGAACATTCATAATTTGGCCACTGCCAGAGTTCACTTTGTGACTGGACATGTTGCATGGAGCCTAATGTGCAGACTTTTATTATATAATTTTCTGCCTTTGAGGTGTTTCCATCCAGCCAGCAGCAGAATGAATCAGAATGAGATCTAATTGCAACAGAGTATAACAGACGTAATTTTAAGATCCTAAAGGACCATAAAGCTCTAACTAATCCTGCTCAAAACCACCTTTGGCAAGAGAGCTGGCTGTTATACTTACAAAATCAATAAAGCTGATAATGTCAATGAATCCACACAATACAGATCATAAAAGACTCTATACCACATGCGTTATCTCCCCAGGAAGTAGAAGAAGCCTCGAAGAATGACTCTACTCTCTCAAGAATTTGTGAGGCTATATCTACGAATGACTGGACCTGCTTCAAACGGAAGAAGTCAGAGATGAACTTTGGACAGATTGTAATGTGTGGGAGTAAAATAGTTCTTTCATGAAGGGCATAGTTAAAACTAAAAGTCTACTGAGATCCAAGGTATGGTAGCCAGAATGGCTGAAAAGGAAGTAAAGGAATGATACCCATGCCAAGTAGTTTGGAAAAATGTCTCAACAGAGGAGCTAAGATAGACACCACTATTAGACTAACTGTGAACTATTGTAGTGAACTTATTAACTGTCTCTGAAGGAAATTACCGTCTTGTCATTATTGACTACTATTCCAGGTGGCCAGAAATAGCATATATATAATAACTGCCATGGATTTGGCATTCTATACACATGGATACCTTAAATACCTGAGAAATGATAATGGACAACCATTTGCTTCAGTAATATTTAAGTCACATTGCATCTTCCAACTAAAAGGCATACCTTATTGGCCCCAGTTGAATTGTTCAACAGGACAATTCTCAAAGCAATAAACATTGCAAAAATAGAAGGAAAGAATTGGTAGGTGGTAATAAAGAACTCTTTATTAAAATACCACAGTACTTCCCATACAGTAACAGAAATATTGCCAGTCAAACTGCCAATGAATTGGTAAATCCAAGGAAAGTTACCAAGCTTTAAGGAAGCATCCAACCAAGTGACATACATGATAGAGATACCCTTCAAACTGAAACATAACATTCCTGCTGACCAGAGAAGAAGACTCAGAAACCAAAAAATAACTGAAAAGCATAATGTGCTGTGCAAGAACCTACACTAAACTAACATGTTGAAACCCACATATGAGATGCTGCCTTTGTAAAGTTGTGGAGAAACTGAGTAATGAAGTCATTATAAAAGCATCATGGCCTATCTAAGATGGGGAATGCAGCTCATGTTAAAAGATTTGATGGCAACATACCTTATGAAACCATCAATCACAGCATGCCATAATCAGATCAACTGTCCCTAGAATATGATACATACATGACTGTCATGATAACGTTCTGGGCACTGATCATCTCACTCATAATGCTGATCATACGACTATTGATCCAGTCTCACACAATCTGGCATCTACAATATACATCCAAGACACAAACACTCGTATCAAAACACCCCAAAAAACTAAATCTGTACTAACATTGCAAAAGGACTTTATTATATAATGAGGAGTTTTTTCAGTTAAAAAAAAGAGAGGGAAGATGTAGTGTGGTTATCTCTAGATAACTTGAGACAAGGAGAAAGAAAAAAAAGGAACAACATGGCTGAAGATAACATCAATACAGGACGTCATTACAGTTTTTGAGTGAAAAATTAAAATTAAAGAAATACTGTGTGCAATAATCAAGTATTCTGCTTATTGGAAATATTAAATTAAATCTAAGTTTGGAAAGAAAAATTTTTATAAAATACATTTTAAACTTTAGGTATAGCTTTTTTTCTTTATTACCTTTGACAGAATTCTCTTATGCTGAAATTAAATATAACATATAATTTTTGCTAAAACTTTTTGATTTTATTTGTTTCTTGGAGATAACTTGTCATTTCTCATTAATCCACGAAAGCATGACAGAAGAAAAATACTTTGTTGATTACTTAAGGAATCTATATGTTTTTAGAAATTGATATTTTTATTTTCTTTTTAAAAGAAATTAACGTTAGTTCTTACAAAAACAAGAACATATTTTGGTAGCAAATAAGTAAAATTAAGAGAGCCCAATTTGATTTTGTTTTTTAACCTAGGATCAATAATTCAACAAAAATGTAACTGCAAGTACAACTAAAAATAAATAAATCACTGAAACATTTCATTTCTCAATAGACATGTTTGTTTGATTGACAGGTTCAACAATGAATTCAGGGTAAATTTCTATTTTAACACCCGCGCTAAATATCCCTTAAAATTTTCAAAAATCATCATAATTCCGTGCAAATGTACATGCTGAACTCAAATTAACAATTAAATTATGAAGAAACTTACTGTTTTGGAGTTATCGACAAGAAAAAATCAGACTTCTTGTTGGTTATTCGTCCCCCATTACTGCCATAGTGTTTAGTAATACAGTGCGGGGTACTTCTGTTGGTGTAATCAGAAATTGTGGCCTATTTACTTCTTTTACAGCTATATCTCTTTTTGAAATCACTACGCACATTGTCGTAATTTTTTTCCTTTTGATAAGTGCAGTCTTATTTATAACAGGAAACTTTAAACAAAAACAAATTAAATAATACAATAAAACCTTTTTTTCTGTGTAGAATAGCAATGACAAATTAAAGGAACAAATTAAATAATGAAAATAAATCATTTTTTTATTTTAAAATCGATAATAAAACAAAATTTAATGCCCAAACTTGGTAAAGTAGACGGGTTGATTTTATTATTTAATTTTTTTTTTAATTTGTCCCCTTTTCTACACAGAAAGAAAACCCCGCCCCTAACCCTAACATCTAACTCTAAAGTTAAGACGGTTTATTTTATTATTTAATTTTTTTTTTTAATTTGTCGACTTTTCTACACAGAAAGAAAACCCCACCCCTAACCTTAACACCTAACTCTAAAGTTAATCTGTGTAGAAAAGGGGACAAATTAAAAAAAAAAAAAATTAATAATACGATAAACCGGGTTAACTTTAGAGTTAGTTGTTAAGGTTAGGGATTTGGTTTTCTTTTTCTGTGTAGAAAAGGGGACAAATTAAAAAATAAAAAACATTAAATAATTTGCCAAGTTTGTGCATTAATTATTTTCTTATTTTCAATTTGAAAATATAAAAAATGAATTATTTTTATTATTTAATTTGTTCTTTTAATTTGTCATTGCTATTCGAAACGGAAAAAAGGTTCTATTGTATTATTTAATTTGTTTTCGTTATAAATAAAACTACACTTACCAAAACAAAAACAAAAACAAAAAAAAAAAATTACATTTTTTTTACGGTAGTGCGTAGTGATTTTCTGCAAGGAAAGTCTGTAAAAGAAGTAAATAGGCCAAAGGCCACCGGAAGTACTACGCAGTGAATCAGTATTCATGATGGCAGTAATGGGGGACGAATGACCAACAAGAAGTCCGATTTTTTCTTGTTGATAACTCCAAAACGGTAGGTTTCTTCATAATTTAATTGTTAATTCGAGTTCAGCATGTACATTTGCACGGAATTATGACAATTTTGGAAAATTTTAAGGGATATTTAGCGCGGGTGTTAAAATAGAATTTTACCGAATTCAGTTTTAATTGGATAATAAAAAGCTATCAATTTAGGTATTTTTAAATTTGTTTTTTATTTTAGAAAAAAATAAGTCAAAGTTTGTTTTGGAAGGTTTACATTAAATACGAAACTTTACATGCTAACTTAACCCAGACTAGAAAGACTTATCTCAAAGTTTGAACTTTTAGCCCAAACTAGAATGATTCCGTGGTACAGTGCTCAAGACTAGGTAAGTAAAATCGGAATTTTTCGCATTACAAGCAGATCTTATTCACTTACTACTAGTGCAGTTTAATCTTTCCTTTCTTGTGTTTGATTTTGTGTAGTCTGAAGTCGCGCTTCCAATCGTTTTTTGAAATTGAACAAACGACTGAAATATTTTTTAAATTTCAGCGTAATGCTACAAAAATGACTGAACATAATGTTCATATTTCATTATTTTTCAAATACAATTTTGTAGGCGAGACCGACGTTTGTTAGTAGTATGGGACAGATTGAATTACTTGGTTTTTAGTTTTTCTTTTCACTATTTAATCATTTAATGGCATCAAAATTAACCTAATTTTGAAAAGAAAAAGTTTCTGATATTTTTCTTTCAAGCAAGTATTAATTTTTGCTGCATAAAAGTAAAAACGTTTTTCATTTTTAGAAAAAAACTTTTTCACATTGACCAATGTATGCCTGTGATGTGGTATTTTAGCAGTCTAAGACGGAGAACTCCTTATCCCCAGGGGCATTCAATTAACTCTTCGAGACGGAAGTGTAGACAAGTGTTAATTAATTGGTAGGTACTACTGTGTGTATGTACTTGTAAATAAGTATCAGAAGATTCCTTAATTTAACAAATTTTAATGCATTGCCTTGTTATACGAATAAAATAATAACACGATAGTGTCTCTAATCAAGTTTATTGTATATAATTGTAAAAAAAAAACCCCAAAAAACGTATAGATGATAGTGCAGTTTTGTTTTTGGGAAGTGGCAATAATTACGTACCGTATGGACTTTTTATTTAAAAATAAAAAAAAAAAAACTCCGATAAACGCATTTAGAAATGATTTCTTTATATAGAAAGGAATTTCGCGAAATTTCATGTAATTAAATAAGTGTGTGTGTGGGGGGGGTAACATCTGTAAAAAAAAAAATAAAATTATCAAGATTTTCTAAAACAAAAAATTTCTAAAATAATTTCATTCATTTTCTGTTCTTTGCTCATTAATTATTATTTCCTTTCTTGCATTTCTTATTTTGTAAATACATGTTCTTTACAAAGTTTGCTCATTAATTATTTGTTTTATTTTTAAAATAAAAGCTTTACAACAGTTGCCATTGTTTTTCTACACAGAAAAAGGGGTTTACTATAAAAAAACAACACTTATCATTGCTTTCCGACACAACTTAAGTGTGCAGTAATTTTGATGAGTAAGATCAGTTTAAGAGCAGTAAAAAGGCTGCTGTTTAAACTTTTGTGTGCAAAATGTTCCGCAGCGAATGTAGTTAAACAAGGCCAGTAATGGCTGACGTCTGAATGCGACTGAGTCCGAACTTTTATTGTTGATGTTATAAAATAAAATAAGATATGTCTCAGCTGATTTACAGGCAAATAAACTAACATACTCATGAGCGAGAGCCGGATGTGAACGGGACAAGGCCCCGTCACAAAATGACCATTATCGTCGTTTATGCATAAGCCCGACGCATGAGTTCCGGTCGAAAAATAAAATAATATTTTAAAGTGTTTCTATTTTTCATCCAATAAAAATGCTTCCCTCTTAATTATACTCGTGTTGTTTTACGAGCCTGTTAAGCCATAAAAATGCTATAAAAGGGGTCACACAGGGAAGTACAACAGCAGTCAACAGGAGGCCAGGGAAGAGACCTGTCACGGTCAGGCTGAGTGGTCAGCAGCAGTAGTGCCATGCCAACCAGCAAGAACTACTATGAGAGATCAACCCAGATCTGCAGCCGGCCTATGAACTATACCAAAAGGTAGCTGTCCCAAAACCACACGTTCCTATTGAAATAAATCATGTAAATCTATTTCTGCTGTTGTTGTATTTCCTTCTTGCAACCATATGCTTGTCTATAACATCGATAACTCCAAAATAGTAGATTTTATCAAAATTTAATTGCTATTTTTGAGTTCAGCATGTCAGTTGACACAGAAATATAACAATTTGGGAAATTTATAACAGATATTTAGCAAATTTACCAAAGTTTCATTAAAAGCCGACAATTATTTGATTTTGCAAAGATTTCCAAATTAATGTGTTTTCACCAGGGAAGAAAAAGTGCCAAAAAGTATTTGTAATTATTATGCCCACCGATGACATAAACAAAACAAGATTTTGAATCAAAATTTCGAATATGCTAGAAAGCATTAAAAAATTTTTAAAAATACCTAGATCTAGATGTGGGGCCAATAAGGATGATACCCCCGCAAGCTTTTGGAAGAATGATGTGAAAAGCTAAGACAATGAAAGACAAAGGCAAAGGTTTAAGAAACAATAAATGTTGAGTTTCTTTATCCCAAGTGTACAAGAGTGTACTCTGGAGGAATATGTTTGTATTGGTCTCGGGTCAGGTATGACTGACTGGTTTCCTTCAGGAGAAGTTGATTTGGTAGTATCAGCGAAACTAGTGTAGAGTTGGTTGGCGGCGGTAGCTGGTTGACTGCCAGATTGGAAAATTGGCAGTAGCTGGTTGGTTGAAGATGCACAAAGATTCGTTTAGGTTGAGTCCCTAAACAGGGCTGAGTCAGAGTAGTGATTACGCCTTCCAGGGTGGATCTTTTGCATCAGAAACAGGATTTAAAAGGGAATTTTAATGCTTATGAGGCAAAAATCCTAAACAGGGCCAAGTCAGAGTAGTGTTACGCCTTCCAGGGCAGATCAACCGTGGAAACAGGATTGCACTGAAGGTTAATTTAAGAGTGAAGCTGGACAGAAAGGCAATATGTCTTCCAGGGTGGAAAATATTTAGAAATAGGATTATCTCCCAAGAGTATTCAGTCGACGAGGCACGGATGATTAACAAAGGTAGCATACTACATTTTTTTTTTTTTCTAAGTAATTCACCTCAAGCAAGGCGGGAGTTCCATTAGTATGCAAGGTGCTACAGACAGTAAGTAAAGGAAAAAACTGGGTATAAGGAGGGTGAGGAAAGGATAAAAAGAAGAATATGATCAAGGCATCAGGAGATGTCGATTGACATGACATTAAAATGTTTGAAAATTATAGTTATCAGGGAAACATGTAAGAGGAAAGGAGTTCCACTGTCGGGAAGAACGAGAGAAGAAGCTGTTGGGGTAGAAGAGGTGGTTACATTTAACTGTTTTGACATTAAAAGGGTGGGACAGAGATGCCAACCAACACTTAAATTCGTGCAGTCGGGGCACCAATGAAAATAGCTTGTCTGAGCAGATGCTCTGAAAATATTTATAGAAAAGACAGAGGTATGTTTAAATATTAATGCAAAATTTTTATCATGCAAAAAATTTGTTGCAAAAAATCATGTAAATATGACAAAAACAATCACAGTAATGAAAACTTGGGAATCCAAAATTTCAGGATTACAGGTCCAGATCTGACCCAGAATGTTTTTAATTTGTTCACAGAGTCAGCCTGATTCCTATATGTTAGGTTATGATCTCTAGGAGTATATCTGAAAACCTGGACAATTTTATTTTGAAACACTGTAATTTTTTTTCTTTGAACATGAGCTATTGAAAGTTGAGAGTAGTGTCCCTTTAACTGTTTTTATGAGGAAAAGCTAAGATGGTGGAATGTGAAAACGATCATAGTAATGAAAACTTGAGAATCCAAAATTTCAGGATTGCGGGTCCGGATCTGGTTCAGAATGTTTTTAATTTGCTCATGGAGTCTGCCTGATTCCAAAATGGTATATGTTGGGCTATTACCTCTAGGAGTAAAGTTGAAAAAGTGTGACACATTCGCATTTATTATATAGTTTATAATCCTATATAACCAATACTTAAGTACATTTTTTTTATTCTATATGCTTTTTTATGAAACTTGGTAGAATGATCAGATGTAAGAAATCAGAATTATTTCCCTTTATTTTTGTACATTCATACAAAAAATAATCTAACAAAAGGAAATCTTTACTAAAAGGAAAAAAAAAAGTTTCTTTTAATAAAGGTTCACGCTCGAAAATGACATTAAATGTTACATTTTCGATTCTTCAAATATGCCTTTATTTAATAAAAGAAACTCTTGTCTTATTGAAAAATTGAAGGATGAAACAGACCCCCAAAATAATATTTCCAGAAAGATTTGTAATAAGATAATCTATTCAGTATACAATTCTTTCATCTATTGCAGATTTGAATCAACCCACAACAAAGAAAAAATATATTTATTTTTGTGTTTTTTTTACAACTAAGTTTTTCTTAGCATGTATGAGAGTTAAAATTCTTACAGATCTTGTTTGTAATTACAAAATCTGAAGTAAATATACCCTGTATTTCCATATAAAAAAGTTAAACTCTGAAGAAGATAAATCTGATTTTCATATTTCTATATAAAAAACTGAAAATCTGAATAAAATATAGCTGATTTAAATATGAATAAAATATTTCTAATTTTCATATTTCCATATAAAATGTCAAAATCTAAATAAAATATTGCTGATTTTTCATATTTCTATTTAAAAAAAACAAAATTTAATGAAAATATAGCAATTTTTCATATTTCTAAAAATGTCAAAATCTATATAAAATATTGCTGATTTTCATATTTAAAGTCAAAATCTGAAGAAAATATAGCAGGTTTGCATATAATACAAAAATGTCAGCATCTGTATGAAATATTGCTGATTGTCGTATTTCCATATAAATATCAAAATCTAAATATTATATTGTCAGTTTTCATATTTCTATATAAAAAATTGAAAATCCCCTCCCCACAAACCTATAGCAGATTTTCATATTACCATATAAAAGATTCAAAATTTGAGTAAAATATTGTTGATTATTATATTTCTATATAAAAAAGTTGATATAGGAATAAAATATTACTGATTTTCATATTTATATATAAAAAATTAAAAATCTGTGTAAGTTATTGCTGATTCACATATTTCGATATAAAAAGTTAAAATATGAATAAAATATTGCTGATTTCATAGATACACAAAAATGTCAAAATCTAAATAAAATATTGCTGATTTTTTGTATTTCTATTTAAAACAAGCAAAATCTGAAGAAAA